TGGGAGGAGACGAGCCAGTCAGGGTGCAGTATAGCACAAATGAAACATACAACTTTCCTCTAGTTCTCGAATGCTTCCTTCCCCTCACTTTCATGACCCCAATTCTACCTTACAAATCTGACTAGACCAGAGGATGTACACGGGTACAGATACGAGCTGGAAACACAGGGAATCCAGGACAGATAAACCCCTCAGGACCAATATTGAGAGTAGCAATACCAGGAGGGGAAGGGGAAGGTGGGGGGAGGAAGGGGGAACCGATCACAATGATCTACATATAACCTCCTCCCAGGGGGACGGGCAACAAAAAAGTGGGTAAAGGGAGATATCAGTCAGCGTAAGACATGAAAAATTTTTTTTTTTAATTATCAAGGGTTCATGAGGGGGAGGGGAGGAAGGGAGAAAAAGGAGAAGTCGATACCAAGGGCTCAAGTAGAAAAATAATGTTTTGAAAATGATGATGGCAACAAATGTACTTGACACAATGGATGGATGGATGGATTGTGATAAGAGTTGTTTGAGCCCCCAATAAAACGTTTTTTTGTTGTTTTTTTTTTAAGTCCTGCGTGCTCTTTGTACTTATCCACAGTCTCAATGTGGAAGACAGCCAGCTGTGCTGTTGACTCTGCTGAGCAAGAGGTGGCGGAGAAAGAAATGGGTGATTCTTTTTCCCTGAGGGTTCCTCTGATCTCTCAATATAAATTCAGGGTCTTCCATGATAGGAAACATTGAGCAGGAGAAGATCAGATACAGAGCCCTTCTTGCTGATCTGTTACTGATTGTGGATGTTCATCCACTGAACTGTATTATTTTAAGCCCACAGATCTCCGTTTAAGTTCTACAAAATCTGAATTACCTGACATTTTCTTAAAGGATTGCTGAGAGTAACTATCTCCCGTCACTTAAATATTCATGCTTTCTAAGTGATTATATTAGAGCATCAGTAGGAAACTTGCAAATGATTTATTTGAGGATATGCTATACCTGAGCTGAATATCATTTGCCTTGGAAATTGGCATAAAACTCAGGTCTCCTCCCCAAGTAGTTTACCTGCTTTTGTATCCGGGATTGTGAGGCTGCCTTTAAACCACTTTAGGTTGTCTGTCTAGGTTGTCAATTATCTCCAATGTTAAAATGATGTTTATTGTCCATAGGCAGACTTAGTAATTTTTGTGCTAAGTTATTTTTAAAATGTGATTTTAAAAAAATGCATGATGGGAAGATATTTGAAATTGGATTCAAGAGATTTGGGTATCAAACCCAATACTGGGCAATAGACTTAATCTACAACTCCTGAAAGTACAATATGTGACTCATTTTTGTGCTCATGTGCTTGGTGCACAGTGGGTGTACAGTTACTGTCTTTTAGGCTATTGCTCCATTTTGACACTAGGATTTTGTAAAAAGCCCAGGCTTGGGACTCAGGTAACACTT